CAGGTCTTCGTTCAAATACTGTTTCTCGGTGACACCTTCTCTAGCCACTCTTAAAAAATTAAGTTTTATTTTCTTCACAGCACTACTCACATGTTACATCGTGTATGCATATATAATTATTAGTTACATGTTGTATCTTCACTAGAGTGCAAACTCCCACCAGAACAGAAATGTAGCTTTGTTTACTTCTGTATTCCTTATACTTAGGACAGCCTGGATAGCTGATACAAGCCAGTAAACATTGCCTGAATTGATGAATGAATGATGAGATAAAGGGTGATTCCCACTATTCTGGTTTAAGAAGTGTCTGCTTTTTCAGAAAGTTAGTGTCTCGTTAGGTCCCTGCTCTGCCCAAGACCTCTGCTTAGAGCTGAGGAAATATGTATGGACAAGATGTAGAATCCACCCTCAGGAAGCTCCTAAGCCTGGCAGATACATGGTAATGTAAGAAATCTCTTCTCTACACTTTTAAATTCTACCACTGTTATCTTCTCATTTATCCAAGTTCTGCTTTAACAATAAAAAAAAGGCCTAGCCCTTCTCCCTTCGGATATTTGAAACCAGTGATCATGTTCTCCTGGGTTTTCTCTTCCCCAGGCTAAACAAAAGGATCCAGCGGGACTGTCTGACTCAGGTTTCCAACTGGGAATGGGGAAGACAGACTGTTGGCTGAAGGGACAGAAGAAGAGAGGATCCAGGAGCAGAGTGACTCCTTCCAAGAAAAGAGCGAATCCTCAGGGAGGACTCCTAGAATTAGATTGGTGGTAGGGATGGGATCCTGCTAATTAAGGTAGGAGATTGTATTTCTGCAGAAGGGCAGCTCACTGGGAATTAATCCTAAATCTCTCTACCCTGAATGCAGACAAAATCATGACTGCTGAAAGCAAGCCCCATGATGGAAGGATCAGGGTGCTTTCAGAGGGCGGCCAGACCTAGGGGAGGATGCTCAAGTCCACTGGCCTCAGGACAGAAACCAGCTGAGGGCAGCTAACAACTGCTGCTTTCTGCAGCCAGCAGTCCAAACAAACCTGGCAACTGCCCACACAAAACTCAAGAAATCCCTCTGGGTTCTGCTGGGTCCCCCTGAAAAAATACCTGGGTAATTTTCAACCAGAAGGGCTTCATGGGCTGCTGGGGGAAATTAGCCCTAGGGAGTCTGGAAAACCCTGTGAGGTGATAAAAGAGTTTTAACAGCAACCCCAAATGTACATCCCGAAGACCTGGGTGTTTTGAGGGGGAGCCCCTGAAACACTTCTACCTCATTTGTGACCTGAATGAGATTACTAAAAATTTCCACGTTTGGGGTTTCTAATGGGGTTTCCCCGAGAAAACCGCAGAACTGCCAACAGCTGCTAAGATCGGCAAAGGTCACTGAGGTGCTTCAGCTAAGCATACATACTTGCCGAAGTCAGAACAGGCAAGAAGAAACCTACAAAATCTAGAAGACCACAGTCATGCAACCTAGAAAAGGCCAAATTATGTTCTCTCCCCATGTACAAGGGGAGCAGGAGCTATTCCCAAATGGGCTAGCCCACCTGGGTCTTCCTGTACTCCCACTGCAAAGCCCTGAAATACTCTGTCCTTCTGGGGAAGGTCACATCATACACCATTCTAGGTGGGTCTTTCAGGAACTGGTTTTGTTTCTTGAGAAAATCTAGGGGCAAGGTTCAATTTTCTGAGGCAGGTAGCTCATTTATTAAAAGAGCTGCTTCTACCCTACAATTAAGGTACAAGAAGGGCCTTTGTTCTAGATCCTTTACTAGAGTCAAGCAATGGCAGCTGGCTATCATTATTCCACTTTACAGGTGGGAGAGACAGATGGACAGGAGAGACAAACAGGTTCAGCATCTTGCCAGGTGACTCCAGGCAGATGGTGGTATGGCTAAGTCTGGAATTTCAGTCCTTGGAGCATTATTACCCAACTTGAAAGAGACATCCATAGGGCAGGCCACCTTCTCTCCACAGGCCCACCATTCTTATCTATTGGTAGGGCCTGAGGAGGGTTTAACAATGAAAAAATTAACTCTGACTGGGCAAAACCCTAATACCCATTTGAGTTTTACCAGCGTTACCAGTGGAAGTCTACACACTGTCTTTGGGACCTATTACTGATGACAAAAGCTCTATTCTGCCTGCAGCTACCTGACCAATGTCAGGATCACAGCCTATGGTGAGCACCTCCACAGGTGAGCTTTGCTTGGCCTTACAGTCTCTCCGGCTTTCTGTGACCACAGTCTGGGTCACTTTATTAACCTAGGACAACCTGACATGGGTGGAAAGAGCTTGGATTTTGGAGTCAGGCCAAAATAGGTATAAACTCAGTTACTTAACTGGCTGGGGGACACCTGGGGCCAGTCATTTAGCCACTAGAAGTTTCACAAGCAAACTGGGAATAAACCCACCTATTCTGGAAGGTATTGGGTGAATAGCATGTCATTTTCATGAGGGAAGGTACCATGTCTGGCCAGCATCTGGCACAATGCCTGCCTCAAAGTAGATGCTCAATAGCTTTTGGTTGTATAAGTAAAACACAATGCCTAAGGCTGAATACAGATGCCATAAAGACTAACTTCCAGTTCCTATAGATGCGCCAAATTGAGAAAATACCCTAGGGCAAAGTGGCCATAACTCCTACACTCATGAATGCCTCTGCCCAGCCTACAGAAAAGTGGTGAGATGCCACTGCAATTGCCAGTTTGTGAAGCTCAAACAGGATGATACCTGAGAAGGAAGTGGGCAGGTACCTTCTACCCAAAGGATCCTGGGTCAAATGTTCTTTACCTCCTGGCTTGAGGAAGAAATGTGTGCCCAGAAATGATTCTGACATAACTGGCTTTTCTACACACATCTCCTCTGTTCACCAAGAGGAAGTAACATATGGTATGTTGTCCAACGGGCTCTGATAATTCTCTAGCAAAGAGACAGAGGATGGAATTTCAGTCCAGTAGCGATCTAATGAATTTGCCCAGCACTGCTGCATCTAAAGCCTCATCACACACAGCATACACTGGGTAACTGGTGATTCTCTGCTGTGGTGGTCCTTTGCAGAGGCTGGCTGGCAGCCCAGGCACCTCGCACAGATTGCCTTTTGCGAATAGCTGGCCACAATCCACCTGATATTAGGACCTCTGGCCAAAGACAATAGTAAAGGCAAAGTGAGCCAATGGCCCAAGTCCCCACTTGGAGATGCCTCAGAGGGTGTGTCAGAAGCACTGGAATCCTGTCCCTCCTATAATCAGCTGAACAAATATTTGCCCCCAAAGAGAATCAAAGCAGGAGGGAATAAGAGAGGTCATCGCACAAACCAACAGGAACTATTTAATCATTTATCCCCCCAGGGAGTTCATTTACAGAATGGCTTTCAAGTCTGGTCACCTCAGCTCAAGAAAGCCTTCCACCTTTACCTCCCCCCAGTTCCACCCCCAGTCATCTGACATCTATTGACTCGACCCCTTTGCCTTTTATAAAAACTGGCAGCAGGGAAGCACTGATGAAGTTGCAAAGAAATGGGAAATTAGACAGCAGGGGGGTTCCAAGGCAACTCAGAGATCTCTTGCTCAGTGGTAAACTGAAGTGCCTACCACGCCCTAGGCCCAGCCTATGGATAATTGCATTCTTGACATTCCTAAGGCCATGGTGCATGGTCCCTTCCACCTCAGCCCCTTCAATAGATGACTTATTTTCCACAGTCTACTCAATTTTCTAGGTGTTCAGAGGGGCAGAGCCTCTCAAAAGCCTTGCACCTCTCCAGACAGGGAGATAAGGAAGGAAATACCTCTCATAAGCTCTGCACCTCCCCTTGGCAAGGAGATAAGTCAGGAAATAAGACTCCATTCACTGTAGAAGAGGAAAAAATTGCCTACAATGACCACTGGTTAAGAAGGTCTCACAATCTCATCCTGACTGGTGATGGGGAAGAGAATTCTCCCTCTCTGGAAAGGAATAAGGCTTAACTCCTGGGCCCAAAGTGTGTCAGGACCCCGTAACAACTACAGCAAACTTGCTGGTGCCAGTCACTGTGTTCACATTATCTCCAGGATCTGCGACACTCTGCAAGGCAAAGAGGGCTGGCTGCATTTTTTCAGTGTGAGAAACTGAGGCTCAATATAAACAGGCCTTGGTCACAAGGTCACACAACTAGTTGAATGACAAGGCTGGGACTCACACCCATGTCAGCTTGTTTCTGAAGCCCGTCATTGGATCGCAATGTCCCACAGAGCCCCACAGAACAGTTCTTGCTTTGCCAGCAAACAGTGCTGAGGAAGAGGCCCCAGGGCTCTGGCCGGAAAGCAACAGGCAGAACAGCTGGAGCTCTCCAACCGACCCTAGGCAGTGAGGTGCAAAGTCTCAGGGCTTAATGTGTGACACAGCAAGAGCTCCACAAACAGGCCAACCACACAGAAAGTCGCACACTTTAGGGCAAATGAACATGGGGGCAAAACGCAAACACAGCTGGCACTACCCTAACATTAATCCTCAGCCATCAAGCCAATGGGAAGTCCTGTGTGGCCTTGTCTTGTTCTGGAAAGAGCACCATGTATGGAAGAAAGGGGACTTGATTTTGGGGAGAAAAGCCTAGAATAGGATTGATACCCTCCCCCCAAGGGAGTAAGAATAAAGGGGCTTATGGGTAACTGATGCTCACGATCTCCAGGAATTATACTCATCCCCCCTTTGCTTGGTGGGGCACTGTGTCAGGGTGAGGGAAGAATTGGAGTAACTTCCCACTCTCACAAGTCTGAGGCCAAAGGAACACACAGGCTGTTTTCCTCTGCTGAGAAACTGGAACACAAGTATGAAAGAGTAGGGTCATGAGGGTAACCAGAATCAAAGATGCCTGATTCTTCAAGAACTAGGTCATTTGTGTTTCAGAAGTTAACCTCTCACAGTGCAAAGAGGCCAATCAACATCCCCAGTGGTCACCCAGTATTACAGGGGCTACTGGGGAGTCTCTCTGACCAGAGGTAAAGGAAGGGGACACACAGGGATATGGGCCTTACCCAGCCGCCGTTCTCCTGGATCCAAGGCTCTAGGTGGTCATTCAGGTAAGTAGCCATCCAATTTGCGATCCGACTCACCAATACCTGCATCTCCTTGTCTACGCTTTCCACGCATAGCGCCCCACCGAAGGAGAAAAAGGCCACAATGCGACCCCAGTTCACCCCATCCCGGAAGAGTTCGTTCACTACCTGCTCAAAACTCTGATATGCTGTCCCTGGGGTGATGTGGAGCTGGGATGTCAGGTCACTGAATGCCCGCCGGTACCTTAGTTCAAACTCATCGCCAGCCTCCCTCAGTGCTTGCTTCACTGCTGCCAAGGGGATCACCTCCCGGGCATCCAAGCTGCTGCTGTGGCCAGTGGCTCCGTTCAATGCAGGGCTGTCCGCCAGGTGCCAGGATGGGTTGCCATTGATGGCACTGGGGGTTTCCATCTCTGATTCAGGCCCTTCTGGGGCCTCAGTTCTGTTCTCTTCCACATCACTAAACTGACTCCAGCTGTATCCTTTCTGGGAAAGCTTGTAGGAGAGAAAGTCAACAACCAGCTCCCGGTTGCTCTGAGACATTTTTATAATAGGGATAGGCTCGACCAGTCCATTGTCCAAAACACCTGCTCACTCACTGAGTCTGGTCTCTGCTTAGTGGTCTTCTTCTGCGATCCAAAGCCAAGATAAGGTTCTGAAGGGAGAGAAAGAGCTTCAGAAAAATGAAAAATTAATGTGCATGTCATTTGCCCTACAACATCCCATTCCCCCTTCAGGTACCAGAACTGATTTCTTTGTGGTTCTTAGGAAGAACTGGTTCTAGCTTCCAAGAGACTTCAATGAAGTCAAATTGAAAGCACCAGCGGGCTCTGAATCATCACACCGGCCTTTTTTTTTTTTTCTCCTTTAGCCCCAGCCACCCCCTTTTCTCCGAAATGCCTTCCTCGGAAAGCCACCCCATGGGCAGTCTGCCCCCACTCCCTCCCCACACCACCTACATTCAAATCCGTCTCAGGCGACGGCAGGCAGGTGCAGCCCCCGGAAGATCTTTTGTATCATAGGTCGGGAGAGGAGGTGGCAGCCGGGATGCCGGTAACTCAGCCGGCCTCGCGGCGGCTTGCAAAAAAAAAAAACAGCTCCGGTTTGAGGGATCATGCGACCCGGCAGGCTGCGAGCCCAGAAGGCGACACAGGAATTACGAAGCTCAGGAACCGGCCCCCTCGCTTGTTTCCTCTTCCATCGCCCGGATCGAGGGCGGCCGCTCCGCAGCTACGGCCTCCTGCCACCCGGGAGCCCAGCCCCCTCGCTCTTGCACGCCCCTTGGCTCTCCGCCTCCTACTGGGAGCCAGGAGAACTCTCCCGGAGAGGCTGGTGTGGGGTTTAGTTGTGTGTGTGCGCGCGCGCGCGTGTGTGTGTGTGTATGTGTGTGTGAGGTGTTTCTCCCCCCCCCCCCTTTTCTATTTCAAGTAGCAGCTCAGGGTGAGGCTTCCGAAACCCTGAAGGGACTTCTCAATGGGGCTCAAGGTTTCGATGGGGGACGACGGGAGGGGGGAACTGCTTCGGATCTGCGGTCTGACTTCGGAAAGGCCATCCCTCGGCCTTTCCGGGAGGCTGACGGTCGGGGACACCCCAAAAACGCCTTTGGTTTTCTGTGAACTCCCCAAAAGCCCTGGACGTGGCGGTGGCGGACTGCCGGCTCCTCCATTCTCCGCATAGACACAATGGCCGCCGGCGCCCTGCACAAAGACGGGGTGAGGGTGAGGCGCTGGGCCTCTCCTCGGGTCAGGGAGAGAGGTCGAGGCCTCCTCGAGGCCCCCCCATAGTTGAGAGGCCACGTATTTCTGGGAATAGAACCCAGACGGCTTCCTGGCACCCTCGGGAGGGCTTGGGGGCCGAGGGCTGCACCCCTCCAGAGCCCGGGGTGGGTGGGCTGCGGCCTCACGGCTTCTCCCGCCCGCCAGGCCGGGTACCCGGCAGGCCACCGCCCCGTTGCTAGGTAACCGGTCTCCCTCAGGGGCGCCCCCTAGACCTTTATGGGAGGAGGGGTCTCGCCCCCGGCGGTCCGCCCCGGCGTAGCCAATCAGCGAGCCCAGTCCGTACGGAAGCGGGTCGGCGACGGCTCCCATTGGGCGCAGCGCCTGTCACGCACTCTCGTGAGGCGGCACTCTCACCTGCGAGCCCCGCGAGCCGTGGGGGGCCACATGCCCCCTTCATCGGCCAAGTCGTTTCCAAACACGAGGGCTCTTCGCGGCTGAGTTCCGCACCGCGGACCCGGGCCGGCCTACCTGGCTGATGGCTCGCTCTGTCTCTTCCGAACGAGCCGGCCTCAGTTTCCCCTGAAGAGACCGGGGGAACTTGCAAGCTCAGTCACTTCCGGTGCCGCGGCAGCGCGCGCGAGCCCGAGACGCAAAGGGAGTGCGCGCTTTAAGGACTAACATCAAGACCTTGGAGAGAGCGCCTCCTTGCGGTAGAGCGGGGCATCCGGAGACGCAAAAAAAAAAAATAGTTCACATTTCTATTCATTCAATCATTTAGTCAGTTTTATCCATTCATCAGTTTATATATCGAAAAAGCGTCGCGTCGTAGTCTGGTATTTACAACTCAGTTAATTGGGCAAGCTATTCAACGCCTCTGCACTTCAATGTTCTTCAGGGTAAAATGGTTACAAGCCAACCTCCCTCATGAGTTATTGTGTAGATTAAAGGAGATGTTATTTATAAAAATACACAGGATAGTGTATGGCCTCTTGTATATACTGCATAAAGATAAGACATGGTTCTTGCTTTCATAGAGACCCTGAAGTGTAAACCAAGGGAATATACGAACAAGGTAACGTCAGATTGTCCCTGGTGCTACGAAGAAAATAAATGGTCATAAAGAGGGCAGAAAGAGAGGTACTGCTTTAGACTGGGTGGTTAGGGATGTAACCCCTCCCCGCCTACCTGGCAGGGAGAGAGGCATTTATTCAATGATTGTTTTGGGGGGGAGACCAGGGATGACCGCTTTGACGAAATGGCATAGCACCCGAGATTTGAAGAATAAGAAAATGTCAACCACCAGAAGAACCTAGAGGACAGCAGCCGAGGTCAAGAACAGCTTATGCAAACTATCTCAAGGTAGGAAGGTCTTGGCGTGTTCCAAAAGCTGAAATAGAAGCGATGTAATGGAAGGCAATGACAGGTGCGACTTAACGGCGTGAGGGGAGGTTGGAACGCTGGCCCTAGAAGTGAGTTGGACTTGATTCCTAACATTGCAAGGTGTTTAATTTTATGTTGATTTATTAAAAAATAAGTATACAGGAACACCAAATTTTAAACATATACTGAAAACATAGAATGCAAAAAAGGTAAATCCTCCCACCCTTGCTTTTCAAGCCCCCCACTTCCCTTGTGGGGCTCGTCACTCTGAAACCTTTCCTGTGTATCTTTTCAAAGATGGTTACTGTTTTCACAAGCAAATTTATGTGTGTAAATGTTTTACATAAGCGGTAGCATGCCATAAATATTTCCTCAGCTTGTTTTTTCACTGAGCTCTATATTTTGGAACAGCTTCAATTTTTAAATTACTGCCCAACTTTACAAGGACACGCCATAATTTAATTGCCTAGCACCCTCTGCAGGAATACTTGGTAGTTTCCAGTCCTTTTCTATTATAAATAATTCTATAACTTGTCCATTCATTATTATGTATCTGTGGGCTCTTATCTGTAAGGTAAATTCCTGGAAGAAGAATAACCCATCAATAACTATATGAATTTGTTTTCTTTCATTTTCGTGGCTATTGACAGAGAGTGCTCTACAGAACAGTTGTACCAGTCTGTCCTCCCTTCAATAAACTGAATGTGCCTGTTTCCTCACATTTTGTACTACACAGTGTGCTATTTAACTTGATCCTTGCCAATCAGATAGATAAAAGCAAGAGGCGCTTTTATTTTTCGTTATTTTTAATATGTGTGAAATTGAGCAATTAAAACAATATTTTGAAATCTCTTTTGGGAGTTTTTTTTTTTGGTTGCTGTTTTGGTGAATTTTTTGTTCCTATCATCTGTCTCTTTTCAGTTAAATTTTTTCTTAGTGATTTTTGGGAATTTCAATTTTTTTTTCTAATATAAAATGTAACTACTTCAATGTGATGTCAAGTTATTTCAATGTAAAAATGATCGTTCTGGAAGTCTGTGTTGTGGTTTTGGGAGCCCAGCAGAGGGCAGATCAACTCTACCCAGGGAAGTGGGCTTTACTGAACTAGCCCCAAATAGGATTTTCACCCAGGAGAGAAAGGAAATAAGGGTGTTTTAGGTGGAAGGGCCGCCTGAGCAAAGGCTTGGGGGCCTAATGTGAGAGTCGGTGGTGTATAAATGCATATCTGGGCATAAGACACTAAATAGTCCCCTTAATAGGGAGGAGACAGGCTTTTGAATAGAAAGAACATAAAGAGGTATATATTTTGGAAAGATGGATAGAAGAGGAAAGGAAGTTTGCGACATTTACTGTGAACTCTAGAAAGATAATTGAGAAATAATTTGCAATTGGAATCTAATTTTTAAAAATATGTGAAATGCAGTTCAAAATTTATCCACACACAAAAAAATGTTAATGCAAGGTTATTGTAACACAGGAAAGAAGAATTTTCAATGGGGATGTCAATAGTTGGTGACATTTTTACATAGGTCAAATCCATACTTTAAAATTGTATCTGAGGAATTTTTAATAACATGGGGAAATGTTGAAAATATAGCACTTTTTTTTTTTTGCATAGAAGAACTGGGGTGTAGGCCAGAGGTACAAGGAGTGAGAGGATTCACCAGAGACAGAGTGGGGAGCAGAACAGGTGATCTACTGAAATACACTGCTGAGGGAGCAGCCGGAGAGACAGGAGAGATCAGCTGTGGGTCAGCTCCCTGACAAGGTTTGAACTCAGGCTGCAGTAGTGACAGTGTTGAGACTTAACCCCTAGGCCATCAGGCATGCCCAACATTGCACCTTTTAAAATAATAGGTTACAAAACTAAACTCAGAGTTATCCTAATTTATAAAAAAAAAAGTGTGTAATACTTGCAAAATATAATAGAATGAATTATATCAGAATGCAAAAAGATTATTATTGCTGGGTAGCCAAATTACGGATTTTATTTTCTTTTTTTATACATTTCTGAATTATCTAAACACAATTCTAGTTTGTTGTTGGAAAACACTTTTAATAACATATTTGCTGAAATTTAGATGATGAGAAAATGCTTAGAATCCACATTATGGTGTAATGTTAAGTGAAAATTAATGTGTGAATGATCTAAACTCTAAATACCACGCATAGGGAAAAGTCTGGGAAATCACTATGATAAAAATAAGAGAAAAACAGAGAAAACCCTTGCATGGCTGCAAGAAGGGGATGGAAACAGATTGGCCAATAAACCTGAAAAGATGCTCAACTTCACTAGTTATCAGGGAAAATATTGGTAAGATAGTATTTCTCACCCACCACATTGGCAAAGTGTAATGATATAAATAAAATATAATGACCTATGGTAAATAAAGCACAATGAAATGTGGGCTAACATTGGAGAAAATTCATTGTCACCTAGTAGAATTGTCACCAAGAGTGAGCAATTCTGGTCTTTGCTATGTGCCCTCAAATAACTCTTGTAACATGTGCAAGGTGCAGGTAGAAATGTTTCTAGCAGCACTACTTCAATGGCAAATAGCTTAGAAACTATCCAAGCATCAATTATAGCAAAATAGTCAAACAAAAAGTGGTATATTAATAGTAATGTAATAGAGTGAGAAGATAAATGGATTTAGTTAGTATGGAAGAATCTCAGAAACATTGTATGAAAATAATTGCAAAATGTAATATGTATGATTCCATTTACATAGAGTTTGAAAACAGGCAAAACTAACTAACCTTCAGGTGGATTGGGGTAGCCAACCTCCTCCCCAAGTTTGGCCCCCAAAGTTCTCTGCCTCTTGGTATTCACACCCTTGTGTAGACCCCTCCCACACTATACCAGAGCTATTCTGTGAGACTGGTAGAAAAGGGCAAAGAGAAGTTGGTATGTCACTTCCAAGACTAGGTTACCCCCTTTTCTGCACTCACTCACAGGATAGTCAGCTGCCAGGTCATCAGCAACCCCACAATGAGACTGAGAGTAGTGAGGACCTGAAGCTTCCTGCCAGCTGTCCTGGAAGGGCCTCCAGCCTCAGCCAAACTTTCAGATGACAACAGCCGACACCTTGACTACAACCTTATCCCGGTCTATGAGCCAAAATCACACCGTTCAGCTAGATTCCTGACCCTCAGAAATGGTGTGAGATAACATATGTTTGTAAGTTCAGACTTCAAAGTATGGGAGTAATCTGTTCT